AGAGCTGCGAGTGCGCCTCCGCCCTGGCGCGCGCCACGCCGGGTGAGCGCCCACCTGTCTCCTACCAGCCCCCAGCCCGCGCCCTGTGCACCGAGAAACCGGCCCAGGCCCAGCGGTCGGCGCTCCCCTCCCGAACCCCCGCCGCCGCTCGTGTCCAGATTCTTTCTATGCGGGTCTGGGAGGCGGTGCGTTCCGATAGCTGCCCCTTGCTCGGGTCACTTTCATCCGGGTGGTGAAGGGGGACACACGCTGAGAAACACCGCTCCAGTCCGTTCACTTCTTTTCATCCCAGCTTCTCTGCTCGAGTCCACCTGTCTTCTCTCTCTGGTTTGGACCGCTGTTCTCCCAAATGGAGGGAGGCCGTTTCTCTCTTGCGTCCTTTTAATCCATTCTCCATCATTTTGAAAGCTCTCATCTGATCGGGACATTTCCTTTCCCCAAGTAGCCATTGCTGCAGGATCTTGCCCCACTTTCCTCTGTCCTGGCTTGTTTCTGGCTGGAATGATAGAAGGCGCCTACTTAGTGCTGACGGGAAGACTTCTGGGAACAATGTGTTGAGAAAAGGGGTGGGGGGAATGATAAACTCAGGTTCAGGTTTTTAAAAGATCACTCTGGTGCTGTGTGGGGAATGGATTCTGGAGGTAGGGGGGAGTGCTAATAGAGATGAAGAGATGGAGAGATGTTTTGAAGGTAGAAGTGACAGGATTTCCTGTTGAACTAGGTGAGGGGTGAGGAAGAAGGAGGTCTGGGATAGACAGAAACACAAAGTAAGAACTGGACTTATGTAATGTCCAGGTGTCCGTTTCGGTCATTTTAAGTGGATTCCAGAAAGTTCAGAATTGCTTGTGGAGCTTGGGCAAAAGGCTTTCGTAGGAGACAGCGGTTAGAAATTACAAGCACTTAAAGCATTTCTCATCAGCCTTTGGCCACTTCTTTCCCTAGCCTGTGCATCAGCTCCCCTTGGCTACCTCTCATTCCTCCAGAGGACCTTCTAACCATTCCACATTCCCTCACTAGACTGTTAGTTCCGTAAGGGCAGAGCCGTGCCTACCTGTGCCCCCAGCACCTAGCACAATGCCTGCTATGTAGGAGGTGCTCACTGATTATTTGTTGAGTGGAGGACTGTTTCCTCTGCTCGAAGTGTCTCCGCATTTCTAACACCATCCCCTCTGCCCCTCCCCTGGGTTGGCAGGGCTGTCTTCTGGATCCCCATCACAGCCCCTGTCACACTGGGTAGTAGCTGCCTATATCTGAGGATCTGAGAGGTTAAAGAACTCACCAAATTATCACCGAAATATCCATTTTATAGATGGGTCCCAAACAGTGCAGAACTGAGGCCAGAACTTCAAAGTGAGAGGGTCAGCCTGGATCCCATAAAGACCCCTCTGATTCTGATTTTCTGTGAGGAAGTGGAGCAACTTTCCCTAAAGAGGTGCTGGTCTAGCTTCCTGAAGGAATTCTGATGTCTGGCTTTGGGTGCAGCTGGGAATAGGGACTTGCCCAGTGTGCTCTGGACTCAGTTTCTTTCCTCTGGTCAGTGAACCTCTCAGGCACCCACTGTAGCCATCAGCAGCTTCAGGCCCTCTCACAGCCCCCACCTTCATCTCAAGTGGAGTCAGTCCCCCAGCCTTTGAGCTGTATAGGTGCTGTTTGAGTCACATGCCATATCTGAGCCTCTCCCTGTGCCAGGCAGTGCAAAGCTCTGCTTGGCAGCCTGGGGCATATGCTGTTCCTGCAGCAGGGACCTTGAATGGGGAGAGTAAGGGAGTTGGAAGATCACAGGTGCTGGTTGGGGGGTGAGGTGCATCAGAGAAGCTCTGGTAATTGGCGACCTCCCTATCCTACAGACCACTTCCACATGCAGTCAGAGTCTTTGATCAGTCCCCTGATGCAGACCATCTCCCACCAGCACTGGAAGGTCCGGGTGGCTGTCATCGAAGCCACAGGCACGGTGATCCAGTTTGGCAATGGGAAGTCAGTGGACGACGTGCTTTCTCACTTTGCTCAGCGGCTCTTTGACGACGTTCCTCAGGTAACAGGAGTTTCTCTGCTGGACAGTCTGTTCTTCTCTCTGTCAGAAACATGTGACATGCTATTTTTAACTGACTCACTTGTTTTTTCTTTTTTTAAGATGCGTTAAATGTCCTTTCATCATTCTCAGTCAGTCACAAGATGTTCCTAATTTCACATCTTTGAGAAACTAGAGGAGAGCTGTATTGTTTTAATATATTTGTTAAATCTTAATTCCAAGGAAAGTGGAAAAGGACTATGTTTGTAATTATTGTCTCAGGAGGAAAAAAATTTAAACTGTGTTCTTGAACAGTTTGCAGAACCATATTTAATATGCCCATCCATCAAGGCGAATTTTATTGAAAAGACAGTGGTTGGTGGACCTGGCTTGGGAGGAGAAGGGTGGAGTCAGGCTGGTTTGTTGGGGATAATTCATGTTGTTGGGCTTTGGAACCCACTGAGACAGACAGACAGGAATGTGACAGTTGGCTCTATTGCTGGCAGAATCCAGCTCAGAGGGCATAACTTGGTTCTGAGGCCCCAGTGGCTTGCTAAAATGGAGACCACACTGGGACATAGTGAAGGCTGGCAGTGTGTAGGCTCTGTCTTAAAGGGGGTAACTGATGAAGGGAGAGCACGTGCTCCTAGTCAGGTAGGTGGGAGGAGCAGTAACCAGAGTCCTACAGAGAGGTTAGAAAGTGTTCCTGCCTGAGCCACCTTGGGCCATTCACATTTGGTCAGTGCACCGAGCACTGCCAGTCTCTCTTCCATGTGCTGTTCACACGTCATCTTGTTTCATTTGCGTAAGAATCCTACATGTCAGGTTATATCCACGCTAAGTTGCCCTGCTGGAGCCAGCCTCAGGCCAGGTCTCCTGAAACAGAGGATGCTCTTCCAGGCACTGTCCCGCCCACCCCCAGGGACCACGTTATTTTGTTTGTTTTGTTTTATTTTTAAACAGCTTTATTGAGCTATAATTCCCATACCATACAATTCACTCATTTAAAGTGTTCAGTGGTTTTTGGTGTATTACATTATTAAGGTTTTTTTTAAACAAACGTTATAAAAATGCTTGATTGATTGGAATCTGAACCCTTGACCTTGGTGTTATAACACCGTGCTCTAATTAACTGAGCCAACTGGCTAGCCTATTACATTACTAACTTTTTAAAACTCTGGTAAAATACATACGCCATAATGTTTACTGTTTTAAATTATATTCACAATGTTACACAACCATCACCACTATCCAAAACTTTTTTGTCTTCCCAAACAGAAACTCTGTAACCATTAAGTGGTAACTCTACGTTCCCACCTGTCCCCCAGCCACTGGAACCTCTAATCTTTCTGTGTATGAGTTTACCTATTCTAGGTATTTCATATAAGTGTAATCATACAACATGTGATCTTTTGTGTCTGGCTTCTTTCACTTGGATAATGTTTCCAACATTCATCCATGTTGCACCATATAGCCGTACTTCATTCCTTTTAATGGCTGAGTAGTATTCATTATATGGATACACCGTATGACATTTTGTTTATCAGATCATCTGTAGGTGCACACTTGAGTTGTTTCCACCTT